ACTATGTAGCCCCAGCTGTTCTGGAACTCACTGTGTAGATCAGGCTGGCCTTGAACTCACAGAGATCCACCTGCCTCTGCTTCCCGAGTGCTGGGATTAAAGGCGTGCGCCACCATGCCCGGCTTTTTAAATGTTTTATTATTTTTATTTTATGTGTATGAGTGTATTGCCTGTGTGTATGTGAGTGCACCCATGTCGTGCAATGCCTCAGAGGTCAGAAGAGAGCTTCGGATTGCCCTAAACTGGAGTTAAGGATGGTTCATAGCTGCCATGTGGGTGCTGGGAATTGAACCTGGGTCCTCTGCAAGAACAGTCAGTGCTCTTAACTGCTGAGCCATCTCTCCAGCCCCTAAATAAAATATTTTGGCCAGGCGTGGTGGCACACGCCTTTAATCCCAGCGCTTGGGAGGCAGGCGGATCTCTGTGAGTTCAAGGCCAGCCTGGTCTACATAGTGAGTTGCAGGACAGCTGGGGCTACAGGTCAAAAAGACCAAAAAAAAAAAAAAATTAAGGAAAGAAACATGGAGTTAAGCCTGGTGTGGCAGCACACACCTTTAGTTCCAGCACTCAGGAAGCAAAGGCAGGTGGATCTCTATAAGATTAAGGCCAGCTTGGTCTACATAGCGAGCTCCAGGCAGGCTGGGGATACAGGGAGACCCTGTCTTAAAACAAAACAAAACAAAACAAAACAAAAATGGGAGTTAAAAGAAAAAGTGGCTTTTCCCAATCTTTTATATGTAGCCTGCCTGTTTATGTTCCAGAGGCCTGACATCCTGATGAGGGTAACACATCTTTCCAGAAGGAACAGCAGCATACTGAAGGACAGGCTTGACCCAGGCTATGTCCTTCCCTGGGCTTGGGCTTCATCATGACAAGAAAGCACTTCTTGTCTAGTCAGTGTTCACAGGGGACTGTTTCTCCAACAAGAAAAGCACAAAGGCTCTAACATGGAATGCAGAGCTGTTCTCTGATCTGGGGGGCAAAGGAGATTACTCTGGGTCTGGTCTGAATTTAACAGACTCACAGCTCCCTAGGTCAAGAGGGAACTAATGAAGGGAACTAATAAAGGGAAGAGTATTGCATTCATGCAGTGCCTAAATCCTGTTTATCTTTCTTTTAGTAGAAAACTTCAATCCAGGGAGAATTACACCCGTCCTATTTGTGCACTGATGTGACTTTCTTCTATTTATGGGATCTCATAGGAACCTCATAATCTATCAACTGCGTTATCAGAATACAGCATTTTTGTATTTATATTTGTGGTGTATGTGTGCATGTGCATTTGCATACCTGGTGCCCATAGAAGGCAGAAGAAGTCATTAGATCCTCTGGAACCCAGGCTGTTGTGAGCTGCCATGTGGGTGTTAGGAACCAAACCTGGGTCCTCTGCAAGAGCAGTAAGTGCTCTTAACTGCTGAGCCATCTCTATAGCCCCTATCCTAAAACTCTTAAAGCATACATATCATTAATGATGTCTTGTATTTGTTTTGTACTTAAATGTGTTCACAAATTCCTTTACAGTGCATTACTGAGCTGGGTCTGGTGCTGCAAACTTGTAATTCCAGCACTTTGGAGGTGGGTACAGGAGGACTAAAAGTTTGAGGCCAGCCTGGGTTTCCTAGTGAGACCCTATCTCAATAAACCAAGCCAGAAAACTATTGTATTTGATACAAATAAGAAAATATAGACAGGCATGGTGGCACATACCTTCAATCCGAGCACTTGGGAGGCAGAGGCAGGTAGATCTCTGTAAGTTCAAGGCCATCCTGGTCTACATAGTGAGTTTCATAGTGAGTTTTCAGCTGGGGCTTTCGGGAGATCCTGTCTCAAAAAAGACAAAAAAAAAAAAAAAGTCATTGACACTATGTGGATTCTCTCAGGGATGCTAATCTTGGAAGATCACTAGGTTTTGAAAAGGAAAAAAAACAAAAAACAAAAAACCAAACTGATACAGTCTCATATAGCTTAGGATGGCCTCAGACTTACTATGTAGCCTAAGATGATCTTGAATTCTAGGTCTTCCTGCCTCCACCTACTCAGTGGGATTACAGGCCAGTTTTATTCAGTATTGCAAAAAACTAAATTTACCTTTCTCCACCTTGTTTTATTTATCTCTCATAATATCTCCAGATCTGTTCTCTTTCCTGTTTCTTAAAAAGATATTAGCACTGGGTATGGTGGCACATGTCTTTAGGCCCAGAACTTGGGAGGTAAAGACAGGTAGATCTCTAGGCGTTTTCTTGATCTACATAGAAAGTTCTAGGCCAGCCAGAGCTACATAGTGAGACCCTGTCTCAAAAAAATAAAAAAGGGCTAGAGAGATGGTTTAGCAGTTAAGACCACTGGTTAAGAGCACTTGCAAGGGATCTGGGTTCAGTTCCCAGTATTCACATGGCAGCTAACAACTGTCTGTTAACTCCAGTTCCAGGGGATCCAAAGCCCTCCTCTAGCCTCCATGCATGACACAGATGCACTGACACACGTGCAGGTAAAATACATAAACATAAAATAGAAAGGTTTTTTTTTTGAAGGCTATATTGCAGAGGAGAATGAGATTTATTTTCATTTTCTTGTTTCTCCATTTCCCTGGGTGTGTGTGTGTGTGTGTGTGTGTGTGTGTGTGCATACAGTGTGTACATATGGGAGGTGCACATGTATGTGCATGTGGGTGTCTGAGGTTGATGTCAGGAATCATCTTCTATTACCCTTTCATCTTATTCAGAGCCTCTCCTCAAACCCAGAGCTCCCTGACATGGTTAGTCTCACTAGTCAACTTGCTCTGGGGAGCCCCATCTCTGTGTTCTGAGGATGTAGTTATAGGCAGGCCACTATGGCCACCTGACATTTTATGTAGGTTCTGGAGATCCAAGGTCTGGTTTTCACACTTTCATGGCAAGCACCTTAATCTCAGAGCCCTGTCCTGTTTTCTTTCTTTTTTTGAGACAGAATCTATGTAGTCATGATCTTGTTTCAACATGTGCATGGTGAATGTGAACTTTGCAGTTATCACGTCCTCTGGTAACATCTCAATGCTATGATTTATTTACTGTGCAACTGTGGCCACAATTCCGCATGTGTAAAATGAAGATAAATACTGTGTAGGGTGCGAATAAAAGCATATATGTTGCCACAGATATAATTATTTTATTAAAGATTCTTATTTTTTAATTATGTTTATTTGTGTGTGGATATATCCATGTAGTGCAGATGCCCTCAGAGGTCATAAGTGAGCATTTGATCTCTTGGAGCTGGAGTTATAGGTGGTTATGAACCACCCAATGTGGATGCTAGGAACTAAACTCCTCTGGAAGAGCATCAAGTGCTTTGCATAGCGAAACCCCACCTATAAAACAAAAACAATGTAGAGAATAAGAGTCTACAGAGTGTGGGTCCTTGCATAGGACTCTTATTAGAATTCACCTACCTAGGGCTCAGGGACCATTGTGGAAGAGGAGGTGGAACGATTGTAAGAGGCAGGGAGGAGGTGCATGACCATATGGAAATTGTCCTACAGGCTCCTGGGACTCTTCTCATACAAACCTCTAGCAATGGTGTCAGTATACACAAGACCCATGGAAACTCAAGCAGACAAAAACCCAGCACAGAACTGTGGAAATGGGCATCAGGCCCCAATCTTAGTCAAATAATTATTGGCAGCTGATTACTGCTGGGTGAGGAAGAGCTGGTCTTCTTAAAGGGAGGGACTCTAGATAGGCTGACTAGACCTCAGTGGATGAAATTACATTGAGGGACATCTGGGGACACAAATTTGACATGATAGACCTTAACACAAATGACAGAATGTATGAATTCCAATGAGGGGGGCTATGGGAGGAGGCCAATGGGGAAGGGGATATAAAGATGATTAAGATGTTCTGTATGAAATACACAAAAATTCAATTAAAAATTTCAAAAAATGCCCAAGAGGTGCCATTTGATGAAATCACAATGTCACAGTTCTAGTCTGAAATTGTGCCTCTTGCTTGGTAATAGTCTACAAAATCAGGTGCCAAGGAGATCATTATGATGCCAAGGATACAGCAGGTTCACACAGACAGAGCCCTTAAACAAACCAAGGATGGGATAAAGTAGAAAAATCATGAAAAGCAGGAAAGAGCAAAAACTTTAAAGGTAGAGGTGGGAATATAGCTTTGTGGTAAAGTAACCGCTTACCTGTGTTGGTGCCTCAGCACCAAAAATGAAGTAAAAACCAAATATAAAGCTGATCATCTCCCTGAACCATGTTTAACATTATAAAGTTTTTTTTTTTTTAATTTTAATTTTTTAGACAGGGTCTCACTGTATAGTGATGGCTGGCCTGGAATTCACTATAGAGAACAGGCTAACCTCAAACTCACAGAGATTCATCTGCCTCTGCCTCCTGAGTGCTGGAATTAAAGGGATACACCACCATGCCTGGCAGATGTAAGGTTTTATTGCTTCTCATTTTCTTCTGTGAAAAAGTTCCCTCCCCCAACCCCCACCCCAACTCCAGACTATTTGGATATAAGAATCGATGACACAAAGTAACACCCTGAAGCAAGTCACCCCATAATTAGGGGGGGAGGGGGAGAGCTAATCCTAGCACTTGAAAAGTTAAGGCAGGAGGATCGACATAAATTCTAGGCCAACATGGGATGGCTACACAGTGAGACCTGGTTTCAAAACCAACCAACTACCTAGCCAACCAACCAACCAACCAACCAAAAAAAAAAAAAAAAGATCTTACCCCAAAGCTAAACTAATTATGGCATAAGCAACTTTACCCAAGTATCACTCCATCCATTAACTAGATAATAGTTTATTAGAATGGAAGCTCCTGAATGTTTTGACTTAACACATTAGTGGATTAAAAAAAAAAAAATTCTTGGGGCTGGAGAGATGGCTCAGCGTTTAAGAGCACTGACTGCTCCTGCAGAGGACCCCAGTGGGTTAGATTCCCAGCACCCACATTGTGGCTACGAACCGTCCTTAACTCCAGTTCCAGGGGAATCTGAAGCCCTCTTCTGACCTCCACGGCATTGCACAACACGGGTGCACTCACATACATGCAGGTAATACACTCATACACATTAAAAAAATAAATAGCAGGATGTGGTGGCCCATGCCTGTAGTCCCAGCACTTGGGAGGCAGAGGCAGGCAGATCTCTGTGAGTTCAAGACCAGCCTGGTCTACATAGTGAGTTCTAGGACAGCTGGGGCTACAGGGAGACCCTGCTTCAAAAAGACCTAAATAAGTAAATAAATAAATAAATAAATAAATAAAAATTCTCTAAGAATTACCTAAAAAGAAATTACATAAGGTGGACATGGTGTGCATACTGGTCATTCCCAGCATTTGTGAAGTAGAGGCAAGAGGTTTAGGAGTTTGAAGTCAGCCTTGGCTACTATGAGGTCAGCCTTGGCTACTATGTATAAGTTTCAGGCCAGCTTAAGACCAAAAGACCATCTCAAAAAACGAAACAAAACACAACAAAAAAGATATTCAAGGGGCTGGAGAGATGGCTCAGCAGTTAAGAACACTGACTGTTCTTGCAGAAGGCCGGGGTTCGAATCCCAACACCCACATGGCAGCTAACAACTGTCCTTAACTCCAGTTCCAGGGGAATCTGAAGCCCTCTTCTGACCTCTGAGGGCATTGCACGACACAGGTGCACTTACCTACATGCAGACAATACAAGCATACACATAAAATAAAAATAAATAAAATATAACCTCGAACTCACAGAGATCCACCTGCCTCTGTCTCCCAAGTGCTGGGATTAAAGGTGTGCACCACCGCGACTTAAAAATAAATAAAATATTTTTAAAAAAAGATATTCAAAATCACACTACCAAAATAAAAAACCTCCAAAATTTACAGGGCACATTTGGTTTTGTACCCTTGCTTTTGTATGGTTAATAATTAATAATTGTACTTGCCTTTGAGGTTAATCTTTACCTGTGTGGGAACACACCTTTCTTGGAGTTATTTGAGGAATTCACAATACTCATTTATTATTTGAACACAAGATTCTAGTGTCTCTAATAGATTTTGAGACCAACTGAAATTAGTAATGACTTTTTTGAGGAGGTGAGCATGAAATATGAGGTCACTGAAAACAGCCCTGTGCTTAAGAATAATTTGATTTTGGTTAGGTGTTACAGGGTCATAATGTTGATTGGTGGATTAGCACAACGGCAGTTTCAATGTATTTAAACTTGAGATCTGACACACACACCTGTGCATTTTGGATGTCCACTGATGTTTCATTGTTGAAAAATAACTGGTGCCTTGGTGGTGGTGCATGCTGTTAAACCCAGCACTCCAGAGGCAGGTGATCTCTGAGTTCCAGCCCAGCCAAGGTTATATACTGAGACTCTGTCTAAAAGTGTAATAACGGGCTGGAGAGATGGCTCAGTGGTTAAGAGCACTGGCTGCTCTTGAAGAGGACTTAGGTTCAATTCCCAGCACTCACATGGCAGCTAACAACCTTCTATAACTCCAGTTCCAGGGGATCTGACGCCCTCTTCTGATCTCCACGGGCATTGCACGACACGGGTACACACATGCAGGTAATACACTCATACACAAAATAAAAATAATAAATGAAACATTTTTAAAAAGTAATAACTGAGCTGGACGTCGTGGCACACACCTTTAATCCCAGCACTCGGGTTGCAGAGGCAGGCGGATCTCTGTGAGTTCAAGGCCAGCCTGGTGGTCTACATAGTGAGTTCCAGGACATCTGGGGCTACAGGGAGACCCTGTCTCAAAAAGACAAAAAAAAAAAAAAAAAAAAAAAAAAAAAAAAAAGTAATAACTGGTGGGTATTCTAAGGAGAAGCTGGGATGGGATGTTTCCTCGTACGTTAGGCATTTCAAGGGCAAGTACATCTCCTGTATCCGGACTTCTCAGTACCAATGCTGGCACACTTAAAATGACAGTGCCTGTGCCCTTGGTTTGGGGCAAAGCAACGCAAGCATTAAAACTTCCTTACAGGCTAACTAGGCTGAAGAATGTGGGTTGACCAGTGCGCACGAGATGGGTAGGGGCCCACGGAAAGGGCAGCGCGTTCTCTGTGGTCCTTCCAAGGCCTAGCAAGAGTAGTGGCCGCGCCGAGACCTATGTGCCATTCCTCGTACAGCATTTGCTGCCATGACCAATTCTGCTGAAAGAGTAGATGAGGAACGACCGGTTTCTCCTTGGGCCTCTGTGGAACTATTTTCTCCAGGGTAGTCATCGCTCCTCCTCTCCCCCTCCCCAAGTGTTTGGAGAGAACCATAGCCGATCCCTCTAAGCGCAGGGTAAACTGAATCCAGACAAGACTTAGCACAGGGATCAGGCCGGCTCCAGGTCCTAAAAAGACCTCAAGTAAGGACGCAGAGTCGCAAGTCAGGAAAAAAGTCAGAAGTTCCGGCTCCACAGCCTCATTCCACAGCCCTTGACGGGAGTGCTCAACTCTAGGCGGTGCCGGGCTTTGCTGACACTTACCTGGTCTCAGGCACTGTCCTCCCGCCCGAAACTGTCACCGAGAATCCAAAACCCGCGCAGACCCAGCAAGAAAACTGAACGCCCCAAGACTGCGCATGCGTCACGCCCCCCCCCCCCCCCCCCCCG